ATTTATCGTTGAGATAAAATAATTACAATGAAATAAAAAACGCAACGCTTTATTAGGAGACCAAACATAACAAATAATAGGATTTTCACAACAACAAGAATATAATTACAACAACAATAAACCGCAGAAGCATCAATAAAAAAAAATTACAACAAACGCAATCAAATAATAGCAACAACAACTGTAGCTAAAGCAATAACAACAATGGCCTTAACATTAGCTGAAAGTTTACGCGAAGCAAGGAGTTTACCTGCATTCAATGGAAGTAGCGATTACACATTAAGTAATTACCTAAGAGATGTTACAACCGTTTTGCAATTAACACCCGCTGAACATCAAGGTACATTACAAACTGTTTTAGGTAATCGGCTGCAAGGGAAGTCACTAAGAGTAGTGGAAACTTTAATAAACCCTACTTGGGATACAGTAATGATGAAACTCAAAGAAGAGTTTGACATTAAAAGAACATTTTTTTAATTTGAGAAGTGATGCGTTAAATGTAGATGCAAAAAGTGTTGAAGAAGTGCATTTCAAATTGAGAAAAAATTTAAGTCAGATGAATACAAAATTTAGTTTAGAACCAGATAGTTTGGATTCACCAGAAAATAACGAAAAATTAATATTTGATATTTATGTTAATTATTTACCTATTCATATAAAATCTCTTTTACTTCAAAATCAATTATATAAATAGGCAATCATGTTTCCTTTACACCCCTTTTACGGCTAAACTGTACTTCTAAGGTATAAACAATTATATATCATTAGAAAGGTATTTTGATGCTGATGTGCAGGCAATTTTTAAAATTTCAAATTAGTTTAAAATAGAGCGAAAAAATCAATTCAAAAGTCACACCAATACCAATGCCATACATATACATGGTTGGGGCGGAAATGCCTCCTAAATGTATGCTTTAATATTGATAGTGAATTAAAGAAACGTGCTAAGCAGCAGTTTAGGAATAAGATGTATGTATGTATGTACATGAATAGATTAGCCTCAAACAAGGATGAAGATAATTTTGAGTATCGAGAAGAAGAAAGGGATAAATACAGAAATTAAAATAAAAGTAAAGAAACCTAAATATAAAGACAAAGAGGAAGGAAAATTTAAATACCTAACCTAATAACAATGG